AATGAATAGTTCTTCCATCTTCAAGGATCCTTGTTCCTTCTTTCTGTCTGTCTGTCTCTATTTCTCTGTATGTCTCTAACTCACTTCCTCCCCTTTCTCTATCCTGACTCCCTGTCTGCCTCTGTCTCTCCATGTCTGTGTCTCTCTTCTCTGTCTGTTGCTGTGTGTCTCTGTCTCTCTATCTGTCTCTTGTCTTTCTCCCTCTGTCTCTCAGTCTTTCTGTCTGTTGTTCTGTCTGTCTATCTCTCTCTGTCTCTATGCCTCTTTTTCTCTCTTTCTCTCTTCTTCCACCTTCTCTGCCTATCTCTCTGACTCTCAGGCTTTGTGAAATTTTATTTGTGACTGTACAAGAGCAGCAGAAATCTTGTTTATAACTATGTAGAGCATAATGAAAAAAAATTATGGAGTTGGAGCTATGGTGCAAATTGGTCCGAGCTGTTTATTGCAGCAAGGATTCTTTCCTTCCCTCTCCCTCCAGGGTGGTCATGATACACAAAAAAGAATACTGTGAAAGCAAATGGTGTTTTTTTTTTATCCACACATCCCACAGTCTCCTTTCTTGGATCCCAGTTGGGCCCAGTCTTAGTAGGTAGTAGGGGAGGATTCTAGACCTGGAGGTGAGGCTACAGACTTAGGTAGGGTACAGTAAGCTGGTGGTGAGGAAAAGAGATTGCTGGTGATAGACCAGACACAATTTAGGAGAGAGTTAGAGTAATTCTGAGTCATTCTTGGTAGAAAGAGACAACCACACATACTGGGACTCCTTTGGGCTACAGTGGACCTTGGTGCTCATGTTGATCTGGGCTGAATCTGAACCAGGTTCTACAGGTGAGGAGCATAATGTGTTGAGTAAATAGTTCTTTTTTTTTACTACATTCTATTTCATGTTGTTTTATGATCCTGGATTTGCCTGAAATCTATAATATTCAGCAAGATTCCTTTACTCTTTTTTTTAAACCAAGGTGTCTTTGCCCAATTGGTTCCTGCGTTTCTGCCAGTCCAGACCTGCTATTTCCTGCTGTTATTTTTGTGCCAAGTCTTAATTGTTTGCTGCCCTCTGTGTTCCACCAGCTTGATATTTTTAACCCTTCCTCCCTGGGTTTTATATATGTATCTCCTGAAGGTCCATTCATCTTTAGGACCCCAGAAGGCCATCCTAGTTTCTAGGCTCATATCTTCTCCAAACCAGAGCTCACAAGCCCCAAACAATGACTTTACTTTGACTAATCAGTCAGAGGATGAACTTAGTTCAGAGAAAGGGGATTTGATGAGATAATAGCATAATAATAAAAGTAACACTAGAATTTTGATATATACCAGAAACTTACTCTCATGTATAAATACATATAACCTCGGTTATATGTGGGGTATATACACATGGAACACTAGTGTGACTGTGGAGGGGTAATTCATACCACTGGTGATGCATAGGGTGGTATCTTCTGGTGATTTTATAATACTTTTCTTTCTTCTATTTTCTTGTGGACATCACTCTCCATAGCTCCCTGATGGGCATAACTTCTCTGTTGTAGCTACTTCTGCAGCTAGCAGGCTATCTTCAAGGCTCCTAATTACTTTGTCTACCATCTACTAAGAATGCTGTGGTTAGCAAATCTCTCTCTAGCATGAAGAGCTCCTGCACTTCCTTCCAAAAAGCAGTTCACTCCAATGAAGACTTTCAGACCTTTCCTAAATCTCAGTTACAATCTTCAGCTAAATTTTTGCCTTCAGGGCCACTTGCCACCTATTCCCTGTTGGTGAGACAACACTGTGGTTGGTAAGCTTCTCTCAGGGAAGAGGGAGCTACAACCCTTTCAGTCATGTGACTAGGAACCATTTTCAGTCAACCAAATTATACCAAAAAGTAGCAGATGTCCAAGCTGAAATTATGTCTACTGTTCAATTTCTCTCTCTTCTCTGTTTCCTCTCAGATCAATTCTCATTTAAATTATGATCCAAAACTCATATAGTTCTCATTTCTTATTCTATTCCCTTCACTGGAGGTATTCCCCAAGTGTTACAAAGGTTCTGCTTCCTCAAATGGAAAAGGAACTGAGGGAAACAACACGCAAGAAACTACTTTTCACCTTCCTCCATAATGCTTCTCTCTTCTATGCAAATAAAAAGAACTAGGCCAAGTAAAAGAGAAATCCTGTCTTTGCTTAGCCAATACTCTTGGTCCCTTACTACAAACTACCCATAAATCCAGACATTCTAGCTGACATTTTCCTCCTCCCAATACTTCTCCCTATTAAAACTTACTTTCCCGTGTCTCTAGGCTCTGATATTTTATTAGGAAGGAACAAACTAATTCAAAGCAAATCTTTTTGTTGTTTTAAGCTCATTATCATGTTATTTGTTTCCTGGTTGTATATGCAATTTAGTAACTGACTTACATAATGCCTCAAAGGTTTGACTACTGTTGAGAATTTCATGGAAGGACCCCAACAGGTAAAGAAAATCTTTTTCCTTTTTTTTTTTTGGTAGAAAGGTCCCCTTAAATTATATGACATAGGTGGCTATCTCTTCCTGTAAATAAAGTTAATTCTGCCCACTTTCAATTACTTGCTATTTTGCCAAAATCCTAAATCATTAAAGAGATTCCCTTTATTTCTGTGAAGTTTCTGAAAGCCTTATGGATTGGCTTTATTTTAAAATTAATCCAAAATGAGAGTTACATTCCCTCTCATTCTAATAAAAAGTAAAGGCAGCAGGTCAGAATTTATGTTTGTTTGGAGTGATATCTTTCATAGAACTGATAACTTAGGAACACTCAGGATCATCCAATAAAAGCCTGAAAAGGGACTTTGTTCATTGAGAAAATATTTAGTTAGGTTCTACTTTCTATAATGCACAGTGGTATGAGACTATGGGAGATATAGAGATATATAAGACATGATCATTGCTTTCAAAGAGTTTACAATCCTGTGGGAAATATGAGAGGTCAGTTGGTTCAATCCCTTGCCTTCAAACAGAGCATGTGCTTTCCTCCTTTCTTATAACTAATTTCAAGCACTCAGTACTATAATTGTGACCACCAATTTTGTTACATCTAAATTCAAGTTCTGTAGACCTAATATGACTGGACTGCAATAGAACTGACCCATTCATTTAGGGCATCTTAACAACTGGTGTGGAATGATCACATAATTACTGTGGCCACAGAGTACAGGATCAATGATGAAGATAGTTGAAATGAGCAGATTGTCTGTACCACTAGCCAGCTTACTGCTAAGTAGAGACAGTGGTTATGTCAAAGAATCATCTCAATTTAGGAGAGAGAAGCAGTGGGTTGTAGTGAAAAGCACACTGGCCTAGAAATTAGGATGCCTGAGTTCTAGCTCCTAATGTATTGCTAATTAGTGGTATAACACTGGACAAGTCACTTAACCTGACTCAATTTTCTCACTTCTAAAATGGGAGCAAGAAGCTAATGTAGCTGGGCACTGAGCCTAGAGTCAGGCAGACCTGAGTTCAAATCTGGCCTCAGACACTTACTAGCTGTGTGACCTTGGACAAATCACTTAACCTCTGTTTGCCTTAATCTACTGGAGAAGGAAATGGCAAGCCACTCTAGTATCTTTAAGAAAACCCCATGGACAATACGTTTCATGGGGTCGCAGAGAGTCAGATATAACTGAATGACTGAACAACAATAACAGAAATAGGAGTAATAATAATGAGAAGCAATGTGGTGTAGTGGAAAGAGAGCCAGTTTCAAAGTAAGGAAGACCCAGGTCCAAATATTATATCTGATGCATACTTGGGGATCTTTAACCAGACAACTGTCTAAGAATTATTGCCAATTTTTGAGCTGTTGCTGGAGGAAGAAGGAGTTTCCTCCCTAGATACTCCCAATACCAATATAATGAGACCAATGAAATCATATCTGTATAATGATGCCACCACCTTCAGCTCTACCTACCGGAGAGGCAATGAGACATAATGGATAGAGGGACTGCCTTCAGTCAAAAGGACTTGGATTCAAGCTCTGCCCTTAACATATACTATTTATGTGACCATGGACAAATCGCTTAACCTTTGAGTGCCTCCAGCCAACTATCTAAGGCTATAGGTGGCTACGAATTTCTCAGTCTGTACCATGGAAGTCACTGGAATAGCTGCAGTGATGGAAGCATAGGGATAGACCATAGCAACAGCAAAGCCCATTTAATTCACGAACTATAGAAAAGTGCTTTGTAAACCTTCAACTGCTATATAAATGTGAGTTGTTATTATGATTACTTTGAAAAGACAGCCTGACATAGAGAGAAGGGACCCACCCTTGGACTCAAGAAGATACGGGTTCAAGTCCTACATCTAACAGATCCTGGTTATGTGATCCTGGGCAGGACACTTCACCTCTCAATGCTCTAAGTCAAAGGCATCAAACATGCAGCATGGCATGGGGCGTAACACTCCTGAGCCCAAACTAGATTAAAATATAATTGGGAAATGTTTTTAATAATAAATAAAAATACAGTAAATCATAGATAATGTTAATATGTGGTTTTATAATTCAATAGGCCTCTGTTGCTGTTTAGTCGCATCAGACTCTTCATGACCCTATCTGGGATTTTCTTGGCAAAGATATTGGGATGGTTTCCTATTTCCTTTTCCAGCTCATTTTACAGATTGAGAAACTGAGGCAATAAGTGACTTGCCCAGGGCACTCAGCTAGTAGGTGTCTGAGGCCAGATTTGAACTCACAAAGATGAGACTTCCTGATTCCAGGGCTGACACCCTATCCAATGTGGCCACCTAGCTGCCCCTGTAGGGTTCCTTATGTTCGGTTTAGTTTCCTCCAATTCTATATGGATTTGACACCATTGCTTTAGACAAGTCTAAGACTATAAATTGCAGAAATCATTAGTAAAGGAAGTTTCCCCATCAGGAATTACCCACACCTGTGAAATCCCAATCCCCAGTTCCTATCCCCTATTTTGAGTGTAGCTCTCAATTTTTATGATTCTTATGATTCTAAATTTTTATGATTCTAGAAGGAGATGAGGGCCAGTGAGGGCCTAGTCTTTTGAGCATGCCCAGTGTATTCTGCCTGCTGCCAACCCATGGTGAAGGGGGAGGTCTTGGTGAGCTTACTTCCAGGTATGTGAGATGGAAAGCTCTTTCCTGTACTTCAGAGCATTCATAGGCCCTCCATAACTATTTCTTGTTCCTTTACTATGCAAAGATGAAAAAAATATTTTAGCTGTGGAGCTGGAAATGTGTGTGCATACAATAGTCTTTGGTAGAGAAAGTTGAACTTATGCATTACTGCTGATTATGAGGTATAGGTGACTTTCTCAGAGGGCTAGTGGCAAAAGAGGGAATGTTTCCCACACTAAGCAGAATGAGTGCGCATCGGGCCTCTCTGTGTCTTCTTTCCTTTGGATCGGGGCCTTGTGAGAAGCCAACAGACTGGGAGCCGTCAGAGGTCTGGTGAGAGAAGTCCACGACAGAGATTGCTGTAGCTGCAGTGGCCATGCCTAGAAAGGAGCCAGCCAGCCTTGAAGAGGAACTGGAACTATCCAGCCCGGGGCTGAATCTATTTATCATGCCAGATGCTGCATCCTACAGGCAAGGAGTAACTTGTTCATCAGCTCTGCCACAAACAGAAAGTAACTCAGTGGGGTCAACATTCACAATTCCTCATTTTAGTTTGAGTCTACTGTGCTCAAGGGCTCAGTGGATGTTTAAAGGGGAGAGCTTCCCCCACCTTCTCCCCAACCTCCACACCCCAGTTTTGGGTATAGTTATGCTTTAGTTCCTTGCTATTGGTTGGCAGCTAGGTGGTGCAGTGGATAGAGTGCCAGATTCCTGAAGACCTGAGTTCAAAGTCAGCCTTAGGCACTTACTAGCTATGTGGCTTTGGGCAAGTCACTTAACCTGTTTACCTCAGTTTCTTCAACTGTAAAATGGTAATAATAATAGCATCTAGCTCCCAGGAGGATCAAATAAGACAATAATTGTAAAGCACTAGACACATAGTAGGTACAATATAAATGCTAGTCATTATTTCTCAGTAAATATCCCTTTATAAAAGCTAATTGATATTAATTATTAGCTGGGAACTCTCAGCAAGCAAATGATATTGGGGCAATAATCATGTGTGATGATATGGAGAGGAAAGAGGACCCATTTGATATGAGCTTGAGCCAATAGCATTAGAAGAACCCCACTACTACCCCTCAGGGATACCCCTAGAATTCTAGGGCCATAGTCTTGTTCTGGGCACCTGACCCTTCCCCAGCACTGGTGTGTGTGAGTGGGGTAGCTCTTGAGTACTGCACTTTGGAGATGGTATATCAAGGGCTGTGGGGGGGAGTCAGAGCATCCCAAACCCTGCTGTTCAAGAGTTATGTGGGGGAGGGCTATATATATGAAGATCCAGAGATAAATCTTTCCCTTCCACCATCAACTCATAATGGAAATATTAGGAGAAAAATCTCACCACTTACAAATGAATGCAACTTTGTCATTTGGAATTAGATTTCTCCTGATGTAAGTCTTGTTAAACTTTCTAGGACTGATAAAGAGAAGGACCTGTCTCTGTGGGATCTAGGGATCTAAGCATAAGGAAGTAAGGATTTAAAAAAATTATCCCTTTTATTCTCTCTCTCCCATAAATGTAAGTCACTTATTATTTTTATTCTTGACAATGTCAGTAGTATATGAGGAAGCATCATTGGTATAATCACTGCCATCAGTAAAGGAATACCTGTCAGAGCCCACTGAGGGAAGGGAAATTAATTTGGTATGAAAGAAGTCACAAAAGGGAAAAAAGGAAAAATTTCTGCTTTAGAGAGAGAAGTAATAAAATCGATGATATACTGAACTCATAATACCAACATAGAGAAACAAAAACATAGAAGCCACTTGAAATACATTTTGTAGACACAGGCTGCCCATACTACCCTGGTTCAGTGTCACTGAGCCTAAATAGGATTGTAGATCTAAAGCTGGAAGAGACCTAAGAGATCCTCTAACCCAGACCCCTCATTTTACTTGTAAGGAAATTGAGGCCCAGAAAAGTGAAATGATTTGCCCAAGGTCACACAGGTAGCCCAAAGTAGAGCTAGGATTTGAACTTAGAACATTTTTTTTTGTCTATTACACCATGCTGGCATAAGACTAACCTAAAATCAAATAAGTCAATAGGCATGGGGGAATCAAATCCCTCTCCCTAGCTTGTGGACTAGAAGAGAGAAGGGAAGGGGAAGAGAGGGACTGGCCCACAACACCCTAGTGGTCCAAAGGAGGCAGTAACACATCTAAAAATAGAAGCCAAAGCTTTGACTCCAAGGCGCCTGCTCTAACCACTAGACCACACCACATCCCCTTGACTGAGGGCTGCCCTTTTACCCAAGACTGTAATTCATTTCCATGACTACCAGAAAGACTGAAACAAACACATTCCTTTTAATAATGGCTACATTTATTTTGACGATAGAAAATCAATACCTCTGGTTTGCAGGGAAGTATACGCTTGGTCCAGAAGCACTATACATATGCTCAACAGAGCTTGGCGGGGTAGGGCCATGTGATTAGATTTTGATTTACACTCCAGACCAGGAGGTAGGAAACTTTAACTCTGCCACCAATTATCTATGTGACCTTGGATCTCAGCAAAAGACTGCTAAGCCTTAGTTTTCTCATCTGTAAAATAAAGGAATTGAACAAGACAGTCTCTAAGCTTCCTCTTAGCTTTAATGTTCATGAGTTTTTTTCTTATGCCTGCACCAACAGAAGGAACTACCTACCCTTTATGCAGCTGTCCAAAGCTGAGTGTCATATGAGTGGGAGGTATTACTTCCTACCTATGTGCCTGAGAAAACAAATGACTAATCTCTTAGTGTCTGACTTTGTGCTCAAATGACCTCGATAGAAATATAACATCTTACATTAACTTTGAAAATAGACTTAAGTGTGACCGGAGTAAATCATCTCACCTTTCTGGGCCTCAGTTTCACTTCCTGACTGTAAAGTAGGGACAATGCTATATACATTATATAATAGGACTGTTGGGAGCTAAATGCTATATACATGTAACTTATTAACATAATGGAGAGTTGAATTCAATTGGTATTTTAAAAGGAGCAGCATTGAATAAATTCCTAAAATATTCTGGGAGAATTTGGATGGATTACTACAATTTTGTTTGTTTGTGGGAGGAAAGAAAAACTTTGGTTTTTTTCCTCATGCATTCTTGGAAAACATCATTGCCATAGCTGGGTTACCATAAATAGGTTCACTTCTGACCATTCTTCCTTCATAGACTCTCTGAAGACATTTCCCACGAATAAAATCTCTGCCAACTTGCCATTCTGACTGACACCCCCCGAAATGAGATGGTTGGAAGTGACTTGAAGCTGAAACCAAGGAAGGGGAAGCCAGGAAGGTGAAGAATAAAAGAGCAAAATCAAAACCAGAAACTAACTATTTCTTAGAATTGTGACTTATTGGTCTTCTGTCTTGTTTGTGTTCCTGAAAATATTTGGCCCCTTGGTTAAGAGAACTATCTCTTGTCCTCTGTTGTGTACTGTAATTCTCAACCAAGTAGCTTATTGAAAGTCTGTCCTAGAGGGGCTTAGTAGAAAGAGAATAGGAATCAGGGTCAGAAGACATGGATTCAGATAGTCCTTCCAACACTTTCCAGCCATAGGCTGGGCTAGAAAGGACCTTAGAGATTATCTCATTCAATCCCATCATTCATCAGAGATTCATAGCATCTCTGTGAGTCTCACTTTCCTCATCTGTAAAATGTAAATAATGATATTTTCACCTACCTCACAAGGTTGCTGTGGAGAAAGCACTGTGTAGGCAGAAGGACAAATGGGTGGACAGATGGATAGATTAGATAGATAGAAACATAGATAGATAGATAGATAGATAGATAGATAGATAGATAGATAGATAGATAGATAGACAGATAAGTAGGTAGGTAGTAGATGGGTAGAAGATAGAAGATACAGAGACAGAGACAGAAAGAGAAAGACAGACCAGAGAGATCAGACAGATAGACAAGAGAAACAGATTTACAGAGAGAGAGAGAGAGAGAGAGAGAGAGAGAGAGAGAGAGAGAGAGAGAGAGAGAGAGAGAGAGAGAGAGAGAGAGAGAGAGAGAGAGAGAGAGATGGGTAGAAGATAGATAAATAGAGAGACAGACAGACCAGACAGACCAGAGAGATCAAACAAATAGATGAGATAAATAGATAGATAGATAGATAGATAGATAGATAGATAGATGATAGATAGATAGACAGACAGACAGATAGATATGTTTATTAAGTACTTATTATCTGCCCTGGCATCCCACGTTATACAAAAGGCTTTTACCTATCTTCCTTAATGTTAGTGTCTTCCTTCTGATATTATCTACATTTCATCCTGTACAGATCTTGTTTGTACATAGTTGTCTATGTGTTATTTCTCTTCCCTATCCCCCACTCACCTGCTCAATTGGACTGTGAGCTCCTTGAGCTTTGTTTTTGCCTTTTCCCAGCTCCTTGGGACTGTTTTTGTCTTTCTTTGCATACCAGCACTTAACACAGACCCTGGCACACAGTAGGTATTAATAAATATTTGGTTATTTTTTGTTTAATTGTTTTTGTTTTACTTGTCAGGTACTATACTAAGCACTGGGCATACAAAGAACAGCAAAAACAGTCTCTGCCCTCAAGGAGAACAAGACAGTTCCTACTCTCAAGGAGAATATACTCTAGCAGAGAAAGACAAAATATAAAACAGAGCTGGAAAGGGGGGATACCCATGTAGGAGCAAGACAGCCGGTGGGGAGGTGGACCAGTCTGGAGAGTGAGTTGAGCCAGGAGTAAAATGAATAGCATGGCTGGGGCTTCTCAAGACATGGTGAGTCAGGTTAGAGACTCCCTAATTAATGAACTGGCCTCAGGGTGGGATCATATAGAAGTGAGCAAGGTGACCTAGGACACCTCAAAGCATTATGGAAATGTGAGTTTTAAGTTATCAACTGATTGTATACTAAAGATGAAACAATTTTATGAGCATCCAGGGACTGATTCTTAAGACACCCAAAATGGTGGAAGATACAGAATGAATGGGAAAAAGTTACAGATATTACTCATGGCTACCAATAAGTACTGACTCATATATCTGACTTTTCAGTTCTATAAAATCTTTATGAGAATAAGTCAGACATGTACCAAAGGCATCTTTGATGAAAATATCAGAAAATTACAGAAATATGTGTTCTTTTGCAAATTATATTCCATATCAGACTGCCTCTTTACAGTCTCACAGTCGCCTGAAAAGTGCAGAGAACCCAAGATCCCATTATAGTTATCATTTATTGTTTATAAATAAGCATCTGACTCTGCAGAATAAAATGCCACCTTAAAGCCTTTCCTGCACCAAAGAACCTTCCATGTGCATGTCAATATAAAAACTTTCTTGATACATACAATCATAGAGATAACTTTGAGCGATGTCATCTGATTATTAATAAACAAGTGAAGAATGAAACAAGGGAGACCAAGGATCGCTGAGAGAATGATCTAGGCTCACTGGACAATGTCCAGCACAGGATCTAAATGCAGAGTGATTCTTTACAGAGGGTGAGGTCTACCACACTCTCCTGGCTGTGAATTACATAGTGCTGGGACTGTCAAACTCTAGAATATTGTAAGGCTTCCTAAATGAGATCCATAGTCACTTAAAGTATTGGACCTAACATATTCTGATTTTCAGTTTCATAGGTTCCAGCTCACATGGGAAAAACCAAGTGGATCATAAATTCTAGCTTTTAGACTATGTGGTATACACAGCTGAATGGACAGTCCAAAGAACTGGTTCACCAGTATCTATCATTACTATCTATCTATAAAAAGGTATACACATATCTTCCTACGACATAGATATATCTAGATAGATATAAATATATGATATAAATCTATGGTATAGATATCTAGATAGATTGGAACATAGATAGATAGATAGATAGATAGATAGATAGATAGATAGATAGATAGATAGATGGATAGATTTCTTGGGAAGATATTGTAGATGGACAATGAATTGGGCTTAGAACTTAATAGGAAGAAGCAATCAGGCTACATCATGCTTGGGAAATCATGAAAAATTTTCAGTGATCCCAAGCTTCTCTCCAAAATACAACAAAACAAAAAAACAAAACAAAGTTCTGTCGTTTTAGCAACAATGTTCTTTTGATGATGCTATATGGCTGTAAATAATGCGATACCACAATCTCTGTAAATCCAAATTGTTGGTGATTCAAAGGCCCATGAACAGACATATAGTGGGAGTAAACAGGCTGCAGTATATTACCATGCATGAAAAGATCAGCATAAAAGTTTTCATCCACAAGTTATGTAACTAGAAAAAGCAATGGGATGGTCATAGAGTGAGAATGAAGTGACAACCTATATAAAAGAGAAACAATCTATGTCCTGTATTTGTACCCATGTAATTTCAGGAGAACTAAAGGCTGAAATTCCCTGTGAAGGAGTTACAGGAGGACATGGACATAGTTGCAAAGGATGAAGACACCTGCATGGATTTCAATCTTACCATTGGAGGTAGTATCTATGTTGATCTATGGAAGTATCACAATATCATCTGATTCTTCAGTGTGTCAATTAATGCTAATAAATATGTCCAGCTAGCATATGCTCATAGCAAGGAGAATGGGATTTGTGTTTCTTTATGCTTCAGTAACAAGAGCACCAAAGGGACAGAGCAAAAGCTACTTCCAGAATGAAAATGGACAATATTCTATTCCACTGTTCTTCATTGTTTCCTTCTTGTGCATGTCTTTGTTGTCAATCTGAACTATAAACCTAACTCCAAGGGAACTTAAAGATCATCTAATCCATCTCCATTTTATAGAGAAGAAAATTGAGACAGAGAGATTTGGTGTCTTGCCCAAGGCCACACAACTATTAGTAGCAAAATGGGGCCTCAAATTCAATCTTCTAATTTCAAGCCCATTATTCTTTCAGCTGTAAAATCTAGTCTTTTTCTTACTGACATCAGGAACAACTACATATCACAGAAATTGCAGAATCTCTGAGGAAGAGTGGAAAGTATCTCAGCCATCCCTTTGGTCTAATCCATGCTTGAATATCAGTCTCCTTTGTTACATACCACTCAAGTGGTCACCTAGTCTTTGCTTGAAGATCTCTAATGAGGAGCAATCCATGACCACCTCAGACAGCTCATTCTACTTTCAGATAATTCTAATTGCTAATAAATTTTTCCTTACAACAAACAATTAAATATACAATTCTATTGGCAGCTCTTATAGTAGCCCTCTGGGACAAAAAAATGACAAATTAATCCCTTTCCTGCATTACAACATTTCAGCAACTTCACAACTTCATTCTCTTCCATTTTTCTTTTGAAAAATAGAATGACACTTTCCCTTTTCCAGTCCTGTGATACCCCCTCCATTTTCCAGTCTATATTTGCCAAGAAATCACTGCCACTTCTTTTAGCACCCAGAGCTGCCATTTTGTCTGAGCTGAGTTCATGAAAAGCAAATAGGTGCTCTTTTTCTACTTTCCTACTTATTGCAGGTTTCATTAGCCATTTTTATTCTATTCTTTCCAGTCCAAACATCCTTCTTCTTCTTCTTTCTTCTTCTTCTTTCTTCTTCTCCTCCTCCTCCTCCTCCTCCTCCTCCTCCTCTTCTTCTTCTTCTTCTTCTTCTTCTTCTTCTTCTTCTTCTTCTTCTTCTTCTCCTTCTCCTTCTTCTTCTCCTTCTTCTTCTCCTCCTCCTTCTTCTCCTCCTCCTCCTTCTCCTCCTCCTCCTCCTTCTTCTTCTTTGGCAATCGAGGGTTAAGTGACTTGCCCAGACACAGCTAGTAAGTGTCAAGTGTCTGAGGCCGAATTGGAACTCAGGTCCTCCTGACTCCAAGGCCAGAGGTCTATCCACTGTGCGACCTATCTGTCCGTAAACATTCTTCTTCTTGGCAGAGGAAATGGAAACAAGAGGCAAATCCAGGTCTTCCAGATTTCAAGCCCCACACTTTCTCCATTATTCCAGGCTGAGATGGAGGACAATTGACCACCATCTTCTCCCAGAATGTACTTTCATGTATCTGAAGATAGTTATTAAGGTTTCTTTTTTTCCCTGCACTAAATAATCTTAATGCCTTTGTAGTTCCTTATCTTATTTTCTTCCCTTGTAGACTTGCTCATTATTATTTTCCTCTTTGCTCCATAAAGAGATGACTGACGTAAGTGCCTTGTTCCACCTTTGTCATTACCACACCACAGCTGTAAAACCCTTAGCACAAAGAGAACAAGACCACTTGATATTCAGTCTTTCTCACAGATGACATTGTCTACCTGTATCCATGGAAATTTGTTTGAAGAATTTTAAACGCAGCAGGCACACCTGTTAACCCCCTACCTTTCAGTAATCTCCCTGACAGCCAATGGAATATTCTTAGGCAAACAAATCTTTCAGTAACTAACAAGCATGAGGCCCTCATGCTTATCTTGTCTAAACAGTGAACATAAATGACTTTTCTAATTTTGTGATTGCTGAAGACTCCTTTCACAGGTGTTTCTGTGCACAGAAAAGCATTAGCAGGCACTCACATAACCACAAACAATGTGGAGAATGTTGGAAAGGTGATTCTGGCCCACGAGTCACAGCGGGCAAGAACAACATGTGTATTGAATATGTTGGGCCTGGATTAATCAAGCACACTCAGTTTTTTTCCCAGTGAAATCCCGACCTCCTTAGTGTGCAATGAATGGACTACTAGATGATATATCATTCCCAATGGCTTCTTCCAGCCATTCCTTTCCTTTTGTTCTTCTCAGTGCTAATCTTGAGATCTGCTTGGTCCAGTAGACTCTAGAATCAAAAGACCTGGGTTTAAATCCTGCCTCTGACTTACAAGTCCTTTGGAAAATGGAGCAACTCACTTTACTTTGTAGGTCTCAGTTTCCTCATCTGTAAAGTGAGAGGGTTACACTCAGTGGCTTCTGAGATTCCTTCTGACTCTAGATCCTTACCCTCCTGAGGTTACTGTTGAGACAATAGAAAGAACTCTGGCCTTGGATTTTGAGGAAGTGGGTTTAAATCCCAGCTCTGCTACTTATTATCTGAATTATCACTCGGTCTCTCTGGGCCTCAGTTTCCATAGCTATATAATTAGAAGACTGGACTAGATGACCCCCAAGATTCCTGCTAGTTCCAAGTCTGTGATCTTATGATTCCCTCTAACTAGTAATATCTCTCTCCAGTTAGGTATTATTATGATTACTGATTATCTGACACTTGCATAGCACTTTCTATACATTATTGAATTTCACCATCATTCTCATGACAACCTTGTGAGGTAAGTAGTGCAGTATTACTAGCCCCATTTTACAGATGGAGAAATAAATAGAAAGGCAGAGAAGCTGGGTGATTTGCTCAAGGTCCCACAGTTAATATGTGATACTGTCCACACTGGAGTTCAGGTCTTCTGACTTCAAGACTAGGGCTCTGGTCCTCAATGCCCCTTTTGATAAGCAATAAGAAGGTAAAAAGGTGCATGTAGGTCTCTTTAGGTTGATATCTTCCCATTCTAGACAGAGGAAAGAAGCTTCCTGACCTTTGGCTAGGGATACAGGTATACTTTTTGAGATATATATGTTCCTGAAAAACTCTAATATTTTGTGATTCTATGACTTCTGGGAATATAAACCTAGATCTAGAGGAAGGAGGGAGGAATTATCCTCCTTTCCCCAAAAGGTTCTCCTGCAGCATTACTTTAAAGGATTATGTTCCCTTTTGGAAAAGTAAAGATTTTTCCTCCCCTCCCCCCTTTTTTGGTTGTGGGAGCTGTAGGGGTGGTCATATATCCAGATTTTCATACATTCAGTCTTATTAGAGTGAGAAAATATTTTTAAATCTGGGTTTATATTCCTAGAAGTCACAGAATTACAAAATATTAGTACTGAAAGGGACCTTGGAGACCACCTAGTCTGACCCCCTCATTTTGCAGACGAGGAAATTAGAGTACAGAGGTGAAGTGGTTGGCAGATGAACACATAAGGATGAAATGGTAGGATAGGATTCAGACCAATGCCTTACATCCTTAAGTCCAGTACCTGTCCCACCACATCATTTTAGTGTTTCATCAAGGAACCTGGAGGTATTACACCTACTCCTTTTTTAGCTTGCTTTTGATCCTCCCTCTCTGTCTCCTTCTCTCCCTCCCTTCTCCTCCCAAATGGTTTTTGATTTTCTGGTTTTTGTTTTATTTCCACTCTTTATTTCCACTTTTATGGACATGAATGGCAATGTTATCTGCAAGGGCCACAATTCATTATAATCCATATAATAAGGCACCGACAGACATTCTAGGTTCTATATCTCCTGTCATATTCCTTGTTTCTCCCAGACAGATCCCTGAAATTCAGAGGTTGTAATTTTGCTTTTGCTTGATCAATCATGCAAACAAAAGATACTTTTAGCTCTTTCATCTATGAACAACTTGTTGGCAAGGGTGGTAATAGCCCCTAGGGCTTGACAGAAATAGAAATGCTGGAAATAATCATCACTTACATTTGCTGCCCTGAAGTCTTTGGGTTGGGTCAAGAAGGGAACTTTATTTAAGAGGAGTATCACCTTTAGGAATCCCAGAACTCCATTCTAAACAAAAGAACCATTTAAAGGAAGACCATCTAGACTATAGTTTAGCATTCCTTTTTCTTTGGTTTATGCTCTTGGTTAAGGTACCCCAGTGGTAATTGCATATTGGCCCATGCCAGGAGTATAATCTGCACTTTTTTTTCCTTTTTCTAAAAAGATTATGGATTAAGACCAATTGGATGAATCAGCATGGCCATTCTTATTTTTCTGGGGACCATAACGGACTAAGAAAATCAATAACTATTTATTAAGTAGCAATTATTTAAACTTAGGTTCTTTGAGCTAGCATTGGGCTAGATATGGTGAAGGACGCAGAAAAGTATGACATGGTCCCTGTCTTTCAGGAATTTATTACCTAGTTATAGAGACCAGGTGAATGCACATGAAACAATAAGAATTTTTCAAGCATGTAATTAAATGCCCAATAATGTGGCACAGACTCAAAGTGTTTTTAGTAACTAGGAAAAGGGCAAGATCAGTGAGGGCAGGAATATTTAGGGGAAATGACCTAAAGGAGAAAAACTACAAGACAATGTAGAATAGCAGAAAAAAAAGGACAGTGAAACTGGGTTCAAATCCAAGCTCTATCACTAACTAGCTGGGTGATCATGGGCAAGTCACTTATCTTCTCTAAGCCTCAGTTTCTTCATCTGTAAAATGAGAGTGTTAGCCTGGATGACATCTAAGATCCCTTCCAACTCTAAATCTATGATCCCATGATTTGACCCTTGAAGAATGGATAGGATTTGGCAAGGTAGAGGTTTGACAACAGGGGATGCTAGGCAGGGAGAGGACATAAGAACAGTCCTTGATTCTGATATCCCCTTGAAGTCTTTGAGACCTATTTTCATTTAATACTGAATTTAGGAAAGGAGATTCTCAGGGAGAAAGTAGAGCTTAAAATAACATTCTTAAAAATGATTTTTTTAAAAAAGTCT